GAGAGAGAGAGAGAGAGAGAGAGAGAGAGAGAGAGAGAGAGAGAATAGTACATGTGTACGTATGCACATGTACTTGCATGATATGGGGTGAAAGTTTGCTTAAAGTGGTGAAAGCTATTGCACAGAATAATCTGGCAGTGATTTCAGTGATTTCAGCAGGAGAGCTCTGGTTCCTGGGGAATATCACCTCCTGCACTGATGAGTCTACAGCATGAAATAACAGGACAGGGAGACGAGAAAGGACAGCAAATGATGGTGACGGGCAAACCAGGAAGGAGGACACATCGGGTAAAAGGTAACATGGGGGCAGATTTAGTAACAGTCACCTGTGCGCTCTGCACTGAGGAGGCAAGACTGGCCTGGACAGAGCAAGACTCTGCCTTGAGGAAGAAAACACCAAAACCAAAACAAAAGGTAACTTTACATTTATTAAATAACACATATACATATTTCCAGATTTACATCCCTTGATTTCATTTCATTTGCTTTTGAATTTTATATGCAATAGTGGAATCATCCCGTGTGTCAGAAACATAGCAAAGGACAATTTTAATTTCAAGCCAAATTTTCATAGCTAATACACAATATATAATATGCTTATTAGTCATAAAATGTGTGAGAGCATTCCTATAGTGTGCTGTGACACGGTCTTCTATAGTCACCGTGGACCTAAGATTTTACAAGACTCAAGCTTTATTGTAACATGGAACTTTGGTATTTCCTTCAAAGAACAAAGCTGTACTTTGTAGCAGAAATTTCCCTATTCAATCTATTTGCAGTGGGAGGCCTGTGATTGGACAGGGAAAAGGGAGGCGGAGCTAAGGGTGATGAGAGGGAGATGCAGGTAGAAACGAGGAAGGCAAAAATGGAGGCAGATGTGAACCCACATAGTCTCAGGTAGTTATGCATATCAAAAGGTTAGGATAATTGGCATAACTTGTCTAAATTGTGTGGGCATCTTGTGTATTGAGATTTTATTGATATATAAATCTATTGGTTAACTATAAGAATTAAGAGTTTTGATTTACCGGCTGATAGGTGTGGTGGCTGGTCGAGGGGTGGACAATCGTGGTGTGGGGCTGGCATGGCTTCGAGGGGAACTCGGGACTTGACTCTTTTGAACAGAGGTAGTCTTCCATTTTGTGCATGACTATTATTACATGGTCTTTAGAGATGTGATTTTTTGCCGTTATACGTAAGCATCCCTATAAGGATGAGATATGATTGTGGGGATGCTCTGGATAGCTATAGCCAGAGTGTGGGATCAGCTACCCAGATGTGGTGGCTATCATCTTCCTTCAGAAGTTGACACTTAGCTTCTCACTGTATTTAAGAGGAAGCCAGGAATAGAACAGAACTTATGCCTTTGGGATGCCAAGCACATTTAGGAATATCATACATCTGTGCCAGAGTGCCCTATGGCTCTCAAATTGAACATCTCAGCTAAGGTTGAGTACAGTAGAACTAGGTATTACTACAGAAGACCAAAATCTATATCTTACATGTATACCTAGAAATTGTTGGTACTCAGAAAGCATTAAGTTTTAAAAAAAGGCTAAAGAAATATTTTGGCTTAAAATATATTTTTAATATTAATTTTTTTGTATTGATTGCATTTAGAATGCCTTGTCTTTGAATTATCACATTAAACATAGACTATGGATAATTTACTTTTAAATCTGTTTTTAAAGTGGCCAGAATTCCATTTCTGACTGTTTTCTCTGAGTACTATTAAAAAGTTAGAGAAAGGCTCATTCTCATCACTATGACTTTCTGTCAAAAAGAATTTGCTCAAGATTGTCTACGTATTAGTTTTTTAAAAATATGGACTCACTAAGTAGTCTTAAACTCTTAAAATATCTTGCTCCTCCTGCCTCAGCCTCTCAAGGTCTAGAATCACAGGCCAGTAGCACTATGCCTGGCTTTCATGCCAGATGTCAAGTAGAAGAGAGCTTATCTGCCATTATACAAGGAACACTTAGATATAAAAAGATAAGCTAAAACTGCAATTTAGCAGGGTGATGGTGGTGCAGGCCTTTAATTGCAGCACTAATTAGGGACCAGCCTGGTCTACAGAGCAAATTCCAGAACAGCTAGGGTTACACAGAGCAACCCTGTCTTGAAAAAACAAACAAAAACAAGAAGATTATAGGGATTGGAGAGATGGCTCAATGATTAAGAGCACTTGTTGCTCTTGCAGAGGACCCAGGCTCAATTCCCAACACCTACATGGCGGCTTGCAACCATCTATAACTCCATTCCCAGGAAACCTGATGCCCTTTTCTAACTTCCTGAGCACCAGCCACACACATGGTGCACAGACATATATGTGAACAAAACACTCATATACAAAATAAATAAAATCATTTTTTAAAAGATTGGTTTTATTTTCTTTAAAGCTCATTAACGAGTACATAATAATTCTACTTTACCTTTCTCACTGTGATCAACACAACACATGGATTTCAGAGTTAGTCAGGAATCTGTGATTAGTCCTTCCTGACTCATCTGCCCACAGAGGCTGTTGGGTCAACTTAACAGAGACAGATGGAGCCCCTGTGGACACGGACAGCAAACCTGCCCTGGCATCAGCACATGGTGAGGGACAGCAGCCCGTCCGGATACTGCTAATTCTCAGGGAGAATTCTCCTGGTTTTGGATATTTTAGAGCTAAGCTGTTTGTTTCTGCATCAAAACATAGAAATGAGAAATGTTTCTTGTGTGATGCCTAAGAAGCTTCAGATGTACATATTTCAACGTCTCAGTAAGCGGATGGCTGAAGTGCAAAGAAACAGTCAGTGCAGGAAACCCTTGCAGAGAACGGGCTGATGACCAGCTTCTGTCTAGCAGTCCTCTCTCAGGAAGCAAGTCTACGCATGGCCTGTGGAAAAGAAGGGAAAACTAAATATTGATCAGCTCAGTTCTCCTTGGGGCTACAACATCTTTTTTTAAAATATGTTTTTCTAGTATTGGCTGCTTAATTTTAGCAAGGTATGTATCTTCAACAAAAGGAGAGAAGACAGTTCCAGCCCCCATGATTCTAACTGGAGTTACGTAAAGCAGCAGTTACCATTCGCTGGGCACTAAGTACAAAGCACTCCTCTTCACATGCATCCTGCAGCTTTCACCGTGCTGTATTATCTCTATTCTACATGCAGATACTGAAATCCAGCATGGTTGTGCTGGCTGAACAGCCAGTAAGTTCTGAACCAGGTTCAGGAGTAGCTCACAGGTTTGTCTGGTTTCAATTCCCAAACTGCTATCTTGTTCATAACCTTAGAAGCCATAGCTGAACGGTCATTTTATGTGGAAATTAGTAACTATCTATTCCAGTGTGACAGCCACTCAAGTTCCTTTATTTTATGTTTGTTTGTTTAGGGCAAGATCTCTAGCGCAGGCTAGCTGAACCCCAGATGTAGCTAAGAATACCCTTCAATTTCTGGTCTTCTTTGCTTCTATCTCCAAATTGCTGGGATCACAGGAATGCATGATGATGCCCGTTTATCCTGTGCTGGGAATTGAACCCAGGACCTCACAGAGTTATAAATTACCAAAGCTGGAAGGACTTCTTGATCTGTCATGACTTTGATAGGGTTATTAAGCTGGTAGGCCAAGACACAAAGTTTGTGGTTTTTAACCCAACATTACTTTCCTCCACAAAATTCTCTGCCTGACTTTACCACAGAGGTTTGAGTGCTACCTAGTGCTTTTCATTAGGACCTGGGAAGTCATAGCTTGCTTATCAGACTTATCTGCTCCTCGGCTTAAAGAGTGAATATGTGAGATGACAGAGCAAAGGCAAAACTGTTAATAAACTGGAACCAAGATACAGTTGAGCAGAACTGCATGTGACCTTTCATTTGGAGCATAAACCTGTCACCTAAGCACGAGTGGAGAGCACTGGTCCATCACAGTTTGTGTGAAAATGCACATATTTTTTTGATTCCTGTTCAGTAGAGCCCAAGAGTTTGGTGTAGCTATAATAAAAACAGACATACATCTTCTAAATATCTTGAGCTCAAAATAGTCATGATTGCATGGTTTCCATGGCACCCTGACTACTTGTAGGTCCCCTTTTTGGCCAACAAAACACTGATAGAGTGTATATCTCTAAGAGTGACAGAGGAGCCGGAAGAGCTGCTCTTGGAGTCTAGTGGAGACCACTGCTATCAGTAACTGACAGCCTGGTCCAAGGGGAGGCCCGTGTTCCTAGGGAAAGCACAGCTTATTACACAAAGGGGTTATTACACAAAGGTCAAGTTCACTTTATAAGTGCAATTAACAGGGATTTCTATCCATGGAAAAATCCCTTGAGAACTCACTGGTTGCTAGTGTCTGGAAATGTTCACAGAAAAGCTAAATTAATTGAATCAGGTCAGTGGAGGAGGGATTTCTTCATGGGCTGGGATATCACATTATTTGTTTCTCAGAAATCTTTCAACCTATAATTTTTTTAAATTACATCTCAGTCCTTTGGCTAAGATCAAGTATAACATTTTTCTTCTTTTTATTTATACCCTTTGGTAATTTCTGGTTTCTGTTTCTCTACGAAGCTACACCTTTCAGATGCTTTTGGATTTTTCTCCCCAGGTAGTTCTTAAATCTATCCACTGCTTGTTTACTCAGTTTATTCAAGATTAAATGCAATTATTTTCTGAAAAAGAAAACAATGGCCATACCTCATCTTGAACATCAAGTTCTTCCTCATTCATCCCCGCTTCCATCAGTTCAAGAGGATCTTTACAGTCTTGAATGAGAGTGATCTTGACCAAGAGAACATACACAGTGTTTATTGAAAATACAATAGCATCGAAATACAGCCAATACCACTGAAAATGATCTGAAGCTTTGCTAGTACTCTCATCCATGATCTGCATACGTCAGAATTCACTTCTAATTTCTTGTTCTTTTGTATTTCTCATCTTGGGATTTTCCCTTTACCATTTTTTTTTTTATGTTCAAATGTGAGCTGATCCAGTTCTCCATTGTATAAAGTTCTTTAACAGTTCCCTTTTCTGTCCTCTGACATGTGGCACCTCTTAGCAAGACACCCTCCACTGCCTTCAACTAGGAAGTGTTTTGACAACTAACCTAAGATCACTTTAAAGAGCTTTGAACACACTGTGATTACACTATGATAGTCTGGTGACTGAGGACAATATAGGCTCTCAACTTGAACTGAGCGGAATTTAATTTTATTGAAAGAAGAGTTGACTGTTTAGGACGGTCCCACTTTTTTGGGATAATATATGGTTTAATCCTCCCCACAGAGGATATCAGTACAACTTGCATTTGTCTTGTGCATAGAGAAAGGCATTTCTAAAGCAATAGCAAATACAAACCAAATCTAAAATGGTGCCCTCTAGTACTGGTTTTCTACCTTTTGTCTCAAAGTATTTTTCACAGGTGTTGATGCTCATTCAAATGGACAGTGTCCCCTGGAGGCTCATGTATTTGAATATTTAGTCCCCGGTTGATAGCACTCTTGAGGAGATTATGGAGCCTGTAGGTGGTGGAGCCTTGCTCCAACCCTGTGCTCTTCATTAGTGTGAAAATCAGAAGGCTGGGTCTCTGCACACATGGTCTGAATGTGATGGGAGTGGCAGGACTCGGTGTAACTATAGATTGTGACTATTCTGGGATAAATCTTGTAATAGACCAAAGAGTGGAAGAAGCTCTTACCGCTCCATCCACAGTATCCTCCTCAGATAAGTCACTATGAAGAAGAGGAAACCACTGTGTGAGGATGGTTCAGGTTTCATGCTAACCCTGTGGAGACAGGGAAGGTTCCCAGTCTGACTGGAACCAGGAATGCTCTGCCCACCTTGCAAAGAATCATTTACACCCCAGCTAACAATGAAAGTGAAAATCTAGCCCTGTCGCTCACAGCACCTCACTGACAAGTAAGGCCAGTCTGACACAGTGGGATGTCACAGTGTCCCTCACTCAGGTTATCACATTCGAGGTGTAAGATTTTACATCACTGTGGGTACTAACTAATTACCTAACTGCTGTCCTGTTGAGAAGGAACTTGGTACCTTGGTTTCATTTTACTTTTAATGCATGATTTCAAAACTATATGAGCCAGCTTTGTTTTTAATCTAGAGTTAGAAATTTGTAAAAACAAAGGTAGTGGGTTTTCAAATGTGGCCTTTTTTTTTTTAAAGAAAGAAAGTTTTGTTTATGTGTATGAATGGTTTGTCTACATGTATGTATATGTGCCATGTGTGTGCCTGATGCCCAGAAGAGGGTAACAGATCCCCTACAACTGGAGTTACTGATGGTTTTGAGCTACAATGTGGGTACTGGGAACTGAACCTGAGTCCCCTGGAGGAGCACCCAGTGCATTTAACCACTAAGCCTCCTCTCCAGCCCCTAGCTTTTCTTTTTAGTAGGTGTGGCTTTAGTACTTTTTTTCCTCTTGTGCATTTGAGATGAACACTTCTAATAAGGGGGCTTCTCCTCTTACCAGGTACGTTAGCAGAGCAGCCTCTGCCCTGACAGAGCTGAGAAGACTAATGTAACAGTTTCTAAAGTAGTCCTCATTTAGAACACCAACTTCTAATCTCTAATACAAGATCTGTTTATCCTAATCTTAGAAAACATCAGAAGTAATACAATATGATTGTTACAAGGATAAGTACTTTTCACAGGTGTTGATGCTCATTCAAATGGACAGTGTCCACGGTAGGCTCATGTATTTGAACATTTAGTCCCCGACTGATAGCACTCTTTGGGGAGATTATGGAACCTGTAGGTGGTGGAGCCTTGCTACAGGAAGTCTGTCACAGGGGTTGGGGGAGGCCCTGAGGCCTTGCCCTACTTCCTGTTTTCTCCTCCTGTGTGTGGATAAAATGTGATCAGCCAGCTTCCTGTTCCTGCTCCTGCATGCCTGTATGATATCTTCCCTGACACTGTGGACTTTAAGTCTCTGGAACCATAAACTAAACTAAGCTCTTGGTCATTATATTTTCAGCACAACAACAGGAAAAAAACTAAAACAGTGTCCCAAATTCACTGTGAAAGGGGTGGAAGGAATGGGGTTTTCCTTTAGGCCTACCCGTAGGGCCAGGGAAGGCGTCCGTCAGTTTTGCATCTTCTGGTTATTTGTAAGTAGGATTGACAAAATAAAGCCACTCCTTTATTTGTTTTTTTTTCAAAGATATGAATTTGATTTTAACTTTGTAAATTAAGGATTCATTATTGGTATAATATAAACGATATTTATGCATTCACATCACAGAAAATCCAAGGCTCAGTGTTGTCATCTAAAAAAGCATTGCAGCAAATGCCACGTCAGTGTAGAACTACTGTGTTTTGGGCTCTACTGAGCACCTTCCTAGAAACTACCTTAGACCTGGAGTCTTCCAAGCAGTAAGCGGTTATTATCCTCCCCACCCCCACCCCATCTCCCCGCCCACTTCACTGATGACATTCAACAGATGGCCGAAAGCCAGAGGTTAGGCTGAGTTTCAGACTAGAGTTAGGTGAAATGTTTACCGTCTCTAGCAGGGAATCCTGGCCCTCCCTGGATTTGACCTGGTTCTGTAGGTAGAGTATAGCATCATGAACCGTCAGAAAGAATCTGTCCTTTCTAATGTTGTCATCAAAGAACCCACACTGCTCCATCTTTTCTAGCACATCATCTGCAAAGGAAAAAAGGAAAAAGTCGGTAGGAAAAAAAAAAGAATTTTATAATATCAGTTTTTGTAGTGCCTTCTTGTCATGGTTTTCTCATTTCTAAACTGTGAGCCTGCGCCAGCTGTCTTAAATTGACTATCTTTAATTGCCAGCAGCTTGCAGAACGGTTGTCCCACAGTTGCTTGTAGTCTGACTTGATGACCTTTTTGCAAGCCAGTATTTTTATCCCCCAGGTGCTGTGAGCGTGGCTGCTAGTTCACAGCTGTGTACCTCTCAGAGAATTTTCTCTGGCCAGTGGGAGCTGTCTGACTTGAAGAGGTCTGGGAAGCTACACACACACACACTTGACCAGCATCCACTGACTGACAGATAAGAGTATGAAATGGGGCCTTGCACCACCACTCCTGGGCAGAGCCACAGTTTAATCTAACTGCCATCAGGTGCTTGAGCGGCTTCGCCTCACGCCCTGTTCCTCTTCTCTCTCTTCCTTGCAACTGTGCATGAATCCCCATCTCAGGCTCTTTCAGAGAACCCAGCCTTAGGCTGGTACCATCCTCCACTTACAGGCAAGCCGCAGAGACTCATACCCTTGGCATTCCTCCTGCTCCAAGAGACCTTCGTCTTCTCACCTCGGCTCCCCACCCAAAACAATGTTCTATTCACTTCACACCATTGTCAAGAAACGTTTCTATACTTTGCCAGCTCTGTGGCACAAATTGGAAGAAATCTCTTTCGAAGTTCAAAAATGACCCGGGATATTGTAATTGGTAGAGTGTTTATGGTGATGAAAAGTTTTGGAAATAGCACATGATTATTTAACGCTGTGGTTAACTATATAGTGAAAAGTAATGTAGGTGACACATTTCCTTAGACATTCTGCACTACAATACAAAACAGTTTTCTTCTAATTATATTTGTTTTCTTTTTTTAAAGAAGGCCTTCAGATGATATATATTCAAGTCCAAGGGAGGAGATATGAGACAAGTTTGATAGGTATTTACCTTGAAGCAAAGCAAAGTACACATTCACATCAATTCTCTGAAATTCTTTGACAATCTAAAAATAGACAAGAATTCAGTCATATTTAAACGTTTGTTCAGGAGAACTGTCAACATTTCTGTGGTTAATCAAGACTTTCAGGATAGTTTGTTACTGGAAAACTTTAGATATTTTCAGCCCACCATGATGCTGTATCTAAGTATGAAAAGGCAGTATCTTAAGGCACAGCACACCAGGTATGGTAGCTCACACGGGAAATGCTAGCACTCAGAAGACTGAGCCTAGGGGATTTTAGTTCAAGGCTCTTGATCACATAGTGATAACCTGTTTTAAAAAGACAAGAAGAACACTACCCAGTGTTGGGCAGCACAGCAGTTCATAACACAGAGGTGCTCAGTAAATATCTGCAGAAGGAAACAGTGAAGTACTTGGGCTCCCAAACAGGTCTTGCTCCCCATAACAAAAATGTGTAGGATTGTATTTAAAAGAAAAAGCTGACTAACCATGCAGGTCTTTGTTTTAAATGGACCAATGCCAATTATCTTGACTGTACTTTTGTTCTGTAGTTCTTTACACCCTGTAACTGTTGGGAGATATTAGGAAGGGGATGTGAAGAATTTCTCTAATATCCCTTAAAACTACATGTGAATTTTCAGTGGCCATTAGAAGTGTGATTTTTAAATACCCAGACAGGCACTAGGCCTGTGAGCAATACAAATTGTCACTATAACATACGCAGCTATTCAAGTGTGGAATATACTCTGGCATTAGGACTCTACAAAGTCATTAAACCAATGGGCCAGTATAATCTATGATGGGTCTGAGTCACTACACAGTGAGCTAAACAACAGAGAGCCAGCATGTGTTCTCAAATGAGCTAACAAGACCTGCTGAGAGAAAAGAACCTCACAGCATACTCTCAGTCTTTTGCCAAGTATAATTACGTACCCACCTAGCACCCAGACTCACGCATCTGTTTCTGTTCCTGCAGTGGTAGCCCTCAGCTAGGCTAAAACCATACAGGAGCCTGTTTACTGTCATTATACCTACTGTTGGTACCTTACCCTGTTGAGCTCTCTGTCTGACCCTCCTGATACCTACCTAAAGCTTCATCTAAATTTGACACTTGGGATAGCACCTATTTAAAGTACTCTGAAGCATCTACTGTGGTGGTTTATATGATTGTTTAACGTTTGCCTTCCTCTCTAGTAGAGAAACCATGGCTGCCTCATCACATGAGTCTTCTGCTAGGTGGAGCAACTGGCACATGTTGAACCATCCAATAAAGGAGCTTGAAATTCTGCAGTTGCTGTGAGTGCTTCTGTCCTTCGTGTTGCTCAGCCCTTGCCCTGACTTCCTGGGTCTAACCCAAGGCCTGCCCTTGCTGCAGAACAATGGACTCTTTTAGTCCCGGCCTATTGCTGTTTCTATAACAAGAAAATATAATACTTAACACAGACTTTACCACTTTCCTTATTTTCACGGTTCATTTATGTTCTCAGAAAAATAAAACATACTAAGTGTTAACATCTTCTAAGAGGTGTCTGTGTGCCAGATACTCTTCTTTACTCCTTATGCGTACTGCTTATTTGATCTTCGTGATACCTGGGTAGTAAATACCAACATCATGCCTACATTAGAAAAGAAGAAGCCAAGAAGAAGGCAGATTAAGAAACTTGTTCTTGGTGCTGGCGGCAGAATTCGCCTCACAGAGCCTGATTCCAGAGGCTCTATTGCCAAAATGGAGGAGGAGGAAGGGAAGGAGGAGGAGGAGGAAGAAGGGGAGGAGGAGGAAGAGGAGGAGGAGGAGAAGGAAGAGGAAGGGGAGGAGGAGGAAGAAGGGGAGGAGGAGGAGGAAGGGGAGGAGGAGGAAGAAGAGGAGGAAGGGGAGGGAAGAAAATTCACTTAGACAAATTACAGAGCCCTTTCACAAGGCTGTGTGACCCATTCCATCACTTCACTGCTGCCAGAGCCCCAAGTGTACAGTACAAACAACCGGAACCTCACCATTCGCAATGATCTCACTCCGACCACATCCAGGAAGGATACAGCTCCACAATCCAGCACCAGGCTGTGGATTGGCACCTTGGGAACATTCACTTTCACCGGGAGTTCAGAGTTCCAGTCCACTTGAATCTCAATTTCTTTGGTTGGGATATCGAGTTCCTCTGGCTCTTCAACATCTTCATCAGGCTCGAAAGCATTATTTGATGAACCAACATCACTTATAATCCCGTTCTAACAAAGAAAACACCTCAAACTTAATTGTCAATAATAATACCAAATGCCTTTCAGCAGATTCCCCCAGTTTAAAAGTGCTGCACAGACTATCCTTTGGAAAACAAACACAGCAAGAGCATGCAATCCTGAGGGATGGCTCTGCGTCCATCTACACTTTGATGCTAAGAAGGAAATGAAAGAACAGAAGGGCCAAAAAAAAAAAAAATGGATTTCTGGATGATTGTGTGACTTTCCCAGGAGAAACAGAAAAGTTACAGCAAAACCTGCAAACGTTCACAAAATTACTGTTACAGTTTCCTGTTACTTTCCGTTATTGTCAGTTACTCTCAGCACCGAATTTGTACCTTGTTCTCTTCATTAAAACTGTTGAAAATGAGTACAGATGCTCATTCTTATATTTTTGGTTGTGAGCCTAGCCTTTAACGGCTGAGCCATCTCTCCAGCCCCAGATGCTCATTCTTAATAGGGAGGGCCCAGACTGTTTGTGGGGAGCTCCACAAGTCTCATTTATCCCTGCCTTTTCCTGTCGCCTACAGAACAGATCAGCTGTTCTCCGATACACACCTGTCATGGCCCATGTGCATCTGGATACCAAAGGAGGGTTAGTTGTAGACCACCTAACTGCTTTCATCAGAGAAAGGACCAAGGAGGGGAAAAAAGGAGCTCGCCTCACCTTTGTTGCCCTGAGTTGTCCTTTTTTGATGAGTTTCTGTATTCTTCTCAGTGCTTTCAGCCTCTTATTATATACTCTAATGGCATCAAATCCAACCTTCGGAAAGAAATGTCAGTTACATAAAATGTCTGGTTCTTGATGTTCCGTGGCATTTACTACCTGAGTGGCTGTTTCTCTTTTACTTTTAATTATGTGCCTGCGTGCGAGTTGTGTACATGTGAGTCCAGGTAAGGAGTCCTGAGGAAGTAGTATAGGATCCCCTGAAGCTGGCATTACAGGTGGCCATGAACGCCCCTACGTAGGTGCCTAGGAATTGAACTCGGGTCCTTCAAAGAGCAGTACACTCTTCTAAAGGCTGAGCCATCTTTCCAACCCCCAGAATGACGATTTCTTAAAAGATACTATTTTGAAAGAAACCCTGCCTGAAAAGAAATTGTGAGGTCTAAGGAGGTAGACTCCTCTTCACTGCCAGGCACCCCACCCCACTAGGGATGAGGAGGGAAGACTAGCAGATCAGAGGCTCTAAGCCAGTAAAAAAAAAAAAAAAAAATCACAACAGCAACAACAACAAATTTTAGTTTTAAGTCTATATTTTCTTGATGTCACAGATCCACTTGGTGGGAGGGGGGCAAAAAGTCTACTCTGGAAGCAGGAAACTAGCACCCAGGGGCAAATTTCAGGTTCCAAGCATGGTGTGGCACTGGGCACAGAGTCTACTCCTTTCCCACATGGTGCCTTTTACTCTTTATTCCAGCAGGGTAGCCTTTCTCTCTTCTCTCCTCTCACCTTCTCTCAGTTCTCAGTTAACACACCTCTCAAACCCAGAACACTATCTTCCTCACACTGTTGGTGAGTTTTATGTCAACTTGACACAGGCTGGAGTCACTGGGAAGAGGACTCTCAACTGAGACTATGGCTCAGAAGATTGCCCTGTAGACAAATCTATCAGAAAATTTCTTGATTAACAATTCGTGTGGGAGGGCCCAGCCCCCATGGGCGTGCCACTCCTGGCCAGGGCGTCCTGAGGTGTATGAGAAACCAGGCTGAGCAAGCCATGAGGAGCAAGCCAGTAAGCAGCACCCCTCCATGGCTTCCACTTCAGTTCCTGCCCTGACTTTCCTTCAGTGATGAATACAACTGAGAGCTGTAAGATGAAACAAGCCCTTTCCTTTTGGCCGTGGTGTTTTATCCCAGCAACTAAAGCTTCTCGTAACTTCAAAATGGTTTTATTTATGTGTGAGGGGATGTGCACCTGTGTGCAGGTGCCCATGGGGGCCAGAAGGGGGTGCCAATTATAGGTATTTATGAGCCACTTGGTAGGGGTGCAGGATCCGAACTCTTCCTCTAATGGATCAGGAAGTAGTCTTAACAGCTAAGCTGTCTTTCAGCCCCTCTTCTATTTTTTTTAACATTTAAAACTATTTCTTACTAAAATTGGGTAATAAAATTAATGTTAGCAAAAGCACACATTATATGAATGAAACTATTTTTCCAAATAAAACTTTTCAGAGTATGGCACTACTTTGAATCTATTCAAAAAAGGCAGCTGGAGTCTCTCACTCGTCTCTGCTAGAGCAACCTGTTCATGCAGCCTCTGGAACTCAGCAGTCCCAGCCTTCTGCCCTTTGCTTCCTAACTTGCATGCCTCAGACACCTCCCCTCCTGTCCCCTATACTCCTCCCCTCCCCTCCTCTTCTCTCCTTTCCTCTCCCCTCCCCTCCTCCTCTTCTCTCCTTTCCTCTCCCCTCCCCTCCCCTCTCCTCTCCCACATTGTAGGTTATTTGGAGCACAGATGTTATGATATAGTTGTTTGCTCATTTTTGTATTTTGTTTTGTGGCTGGCCTAAAATTTACAGCAATCCTCCTGCCTGAGCCTCTCAAATGCTCCAATTACCATACTGTGCCACAATAGAGTTTTTAATGCCCCCCCCCCAAAGAGAACCAAGCATAAGGCCTTATTCCTAATTGATAACTGATAGATGAGTGAAATCTGAAAATAAGTTTAAAACAATCAACTTGTAGGAATAAAATACTTACTGTTGACTTGACACATTTTTTAAAACCATCAACATTGCCATAAAAAATGGGACTGGAAAATCTCAGAATCTTCACTCCTTCAGGCTCTTCAAGCTGGCATTAAAAAAAAAACAACAGGGAGGGAGGGAGGAAGGGACGGAAGAGAGAGAGGATAGAGGGAGTGGGAGGAGAGAGAGGAAGAGAGAGAGAGAGAGAGAGAGAGAGAGAGAGAGAGAGAGAGAGAGAGAGAGAGATTGAACAAATCCACATCTCAAACCCTCCCCTCAAGTCCTTCCCGCTGAGGTGACATGGTTACTCAGAGGAGCTGAGCAGAGCTCCTCTGAGCTGTGGGGAGTTATCCAGTAAGAAGATGCACAGAATCAGAGGCCATAGAATCAGAATCAGAACAGAAGCATAGGGTAGTATTACAGTAGCTAACAGGCTGCTGCTACCCATATGAAGAAAGTGGCTCTAAAGGCAACATGACTGGTCTCCAGCCTCCTCTACGGACAGCTTTGATTTTGCTAAAATTCTTTGGTGCAGGGGAATGAACAAAAGGCATCTGTGGAGTACATAAACTGCCCTATGGTGGATTTTGTTTGTTTACACCCTACTAAACAGGCTGCTTCAAGAGTGAATCTCAGAGCGCCATAGAGTCACCTAGTCCTAAGCAATCGAAGCCAGAGTCATCTAGTCCTAAGCAATCGCAGCCATGTTAGTCTATCCCTTTCACATGAGGATACCTGGGCCAAAAGTCTCACCAACACAGAGCTCAGAATCTGGGTTCCATGTTAAGCCGCAGAACTGAGCAGTGGTACTGTTCCGTGCAGTTGCCTATCTCTTGTATAGTCTGGCTTCCAAACGGCAACCGGATTTTTGTATGTTTCTATAGATACACTGTCCTGTTACCATGGTGTATTTTACGAAGCATCTTGATATCTCCAGCCATTGAACTAGTGGGTTTTTTTTTCTCTTGATACTTGGCTCAACATTACAGAAAGATTATGGAAATAAACTAAGTAACAGCTACTAGAATTCCAGGCTGAATGTAAAATTCCCAGCACCCACATGACAGCCCACAACTCTAATTCCAGTTCCAGGGAGCTGGCACCCTCACACAGACATACACGCAGGCAAACCATCAGCACACATGAAAAATAAGTAGGTATGTTTTTAAATCGTCCTTAAAAAACATTAGAGACATCAGGCAATTTTATAAAGACTATGGATTACAGACAAATGTAACTTTTATTAAGTATCTGCAAATAATCTAATTGCCTACTGTATTTAATCCCTCATTATGAGTTTTTACACCAAAATAACATTCAACTAGCATGGGCAGATATCCTCCGATCGATTTATGGCAAATCCAAAGTACTTAGGACACCTACAGTCTGCTGATGGACTTTCCCAACAGAAGTCCTCTTGGCTTATACCTAACACACTAAAAGAAATCTGAGGCTCCTTGAATTCCAGGCTAGCAAGCTTTCCTAGGACAAGCATCTCACAGAGGCACTTACATTTTTGTAATGTGTGATGCTTTTGTAGATATCTGTGCTGGGGACACTTCCAAGGCCATTCCATGAAGGGCTGCAAGAAGAAAAATGAACACCGGGATTTTATCTTTTTTTTTTTTTTTTTTTTTTACAACAGTTAAAAAGTTAAAATGAGAGGGAACATCATTCTGGTGTTTTGGACTCTGTCTTTATTGCCAATGACATTTTCCTGTATCTAACTCTGAAATGAACAGCTGGTGTTTGCGAGGAACCGAAGAAAGAACTAACTGTGCCTCTCGTCTGATGGCTGGGAGACGTAATGAGCACTTTGGAGTGCACAACAATTTATAGCAGAAGCGTCAAGCTTTCTCACATGGCAAGCCTGGAAGCCTGGCCGTAACTCTGAATGGCCAGCGCTATTATCCCTATTTTTATTAGTTCATAAAGTAGTGTCCAGAGGAGTTAGAGGAGCCACGGGGTGAAGGACGAATAGCCTGTCTTTGGCACATGGGGCTTTGGTTCCTTCTACTTCCTTGTGACTTATGGCAACCCACTGATGGAGTACAGTCTCTGCAAGTGACCAGATTAGTCTCTGGTTTTAGAAGCAGCAGCCGTGTGAAGCAAGTCCTGCCTGTCGACCAGACCACCGATTTCCTGTTCCTGATGCAATCAGATGAATTCCATGTCTCTCCAACTGTGACAGTGACATATGCTGAAAGCAGACAGCCCCTGGAGAAAGACTAACTGAGGTCCTTTCAGCATTGTGCTCTCTGGATCAATGTGATAATTACTGGAAATTAAACACTGTAAATGGTACTGCTTTTTGTTGGCTTGGAGCCTGGCTACCTAACAAGCAACTAAATTGTACCACCAAGATTTCCCTTGGCTCACAACACTGAGTTCATTTTTAAGTTAAATCATAAGTTAGTCTTTCTCAAAGAAAAAGAAAAAAAAAAACCAACAAACCTTCCTTCTCAAGCAGTCTCACAAAAGAAGGAGCTGCTTCCTGAGCACACTCGGCACAAGAGGCAATGTCCCCTACAGTTCCTTCACTGTTTCCTTGTAGCAAACTGGGCCCTCTGGAAGCCAATGAACCCTTTCAGGACCCTGTGCTGCCAAGGTGCTGAGGGAGCCACTCATGGGCCTTTCAAGTAAGAACCAACATGCTAACAGAGGGAGGGCAGGCAGAGAGCTGGTTGGTGGGCAGGAGAGGTGAGCCCACGCTAAGCTGAAGATATCTATGTTCGTGGTTTTCCAGGTGCCTTCTTCCATCACTGCCAAGGCAGAGAAGAGGGCAGATACCTGAGAAGGCAAGGAAAAAAACTAAAAGGGGCAGAGGTTGTGCTCCTCAAGCCCAGGAGGACACACAACTAAAACCAAAGTCAAAACAAAACAGTCACCAACCAGATAATCCGCCCTCAACCTGCCTCGCCTGCCTTCATAGGCTATTTCCACCATGACTAATAGCTCTGCTGCATCCACCGAGCATACGAACTAATCTTGTTTACTTCACATAATTGGGCATTATATGCCTTGTCTTTGGATTTGAATGAATCCTGACTGTAATGACCATTGTAAAGTTCACAGTCGTATGAGTTACTGGCTTTAAAGAGTAAAATGAGTGGGAATATATTGAGGGAGCCGACTTGTTCTGTGTCTGGTGCCCAGTGCCTCTAATGCTCATCTGATTTAACCAGGATTGAAACAAAGCGAGTTCAGACTTTGGCTGATCTGTGTATCTATCTATCCTTCGTGTTAAGACAACTAACCAACGGAGAGCGGAGTGGAGGTTGTGAGGGAGGGCACAGGTAGGGGTGAGCTGCATCGGGACATGAGACTTAGTTCTGCCATAGCTGACAGCATTAAGAAAGATCTCTAAGCTTTCCGAGCTTAAACTTTCTCACCTGCAGAGGAAGACTAGTCAACAGTGTAAGGTGGTGTGTATGTAATTCATACACCCAATCAGTATATAATATTATAAAAAGAAGTGTCGATATTTAATGAAACCAGCCTAGGAAACTTCAGGCTGTGTCTCCTATCAGATGCCTGAGTTTGTGTTTTGGCTTTTTTGGGGGGTGGGGGAGGGCATGTTGTTTTCTTTTGTTGTTGTTGTTGTTTAGTACTTACAACTGAACTCTCAGGACCACAGTCAGTAGTCCAAATAAAAGGCCAGCTAGCAAACCCAGGTCCAGCCCCAGAATGACGGACATTATGCATGTAAACACCCAGATAACCTAGAGGGGGAAAGAAATGAAAAGATCTATATTAGTTCATTAGATAACAATCAAGTGATCGAAAATGAATCTTCCCAGAGAGCCAGGACCTTCACATAGAAGACATCAGGGCTTTGCCTGCTCCACACAACTCTGCTCTGGAGTTACCAATATTCAGGCTAGACTTAAGGAGTGGACGTCATGAGTGAGAGGTGTGGCAAGGAACTACGTCTTATTGACAGGAAGCTGTGTGGTAGGGACTTACAGCATCAGTCTTATTCTGCTTCCACAGCCGAGGAACGTCACACACCTGCATAAACATCCCTTTCAGGTTGGCAATGACGACGGCTGCCAAGACTGACTGGACAGAGACAGGGAAGACTGTGTTATTGAAGGCAATGGTTTCTACGTGTTGATTTCCAGTCTCCTGCTGTTTCTCTTATAAAAGTCTGGTGAAGAGAAACTGGTGTGCAGAAAAGCAGGGTTTTACCTTCTGCAAGGGTTCCAGAAGCTTCCCCAGAGCAACGATGGCGATCATCACAATCACAGCCGAGATGATACCAGCAACCTGAAAGACACTTTCCATGAGGTGGGCACACCCTGCTCACCACAGGAGCGCACAGGACACCTGCACACAGACACAGTGACCCCTCCCTCATCTCTCCCCTTCTGCTCAGTATTTAGAGAAATGAGCATTATTTGCTAAACCCACACAAAATGGAAAAAAATACAGAGCAATATATACCCAATATTGCCGAGAGATGAAAGAGAATAGGAAAACTAGACCTGTTAAAGTCAAGCTAGTTTGTTTTGAATTTCATTTGAGTAGCTAGTGCCTATTGGTGTCGACGTAGGAGGTCAACCTTCCGGTTGTTTGCCATGCCATGAGACACTGACCCTCCCGATTTCTCCAATACCAGAGATGACTGTCACATTTTTGGGAATAAATCCTTATGACAGATATTAAACTCTTTTGCATTGTGCAAACAGCAGCCATAATGGTTACCCTAATAAGAGATGTACCTGTAGCTCATAATTGCCATGAACAAACACCTCAAGAAAAAATAAATTAACCCATCTCATCATCAATTGACAGTATCACACCGGCACACCAAGACCTCCACTCCTGTCTCCTCCAACAATTGTAGGCACAGATTCCAGACACTGGCTGCAGCAGTGGAGCAATCATGGGGGGGAAAGGAAGCTCGGAAACTTTACCTTCTCTGGCAAAAAAAAAGTTCTGCTAAGATCCATAAAGAGCTAGGAGAGAGGCTGAGGGGGTGGGGACTATTCCTGGTCTGATCAGTTGGTCTGGTCAATGAATTCTCTGCTGAGACAGCATAAGGCATGGCTGATCTGAAGACTAGAAACTCTGCAGCAAAGGAGAAAAGACAGGGAAGCAGAAGCAGACTGGTCAGAGAAAGGAACAGGCAAGATGAACTGAGCAAAAGCACGGACCCATGTGTGGCGTCCAGCGTAAAGAAGCAGACACAGCAAACGTCAGGGGAAACATGCGTTCCATCTGGCATACTGGCTATTTATGTTTAGGTATGGGTCAGATGAATATTATAAATATTAAGAATCTCACTCTGCATGTCTACTTCCTGTTCCTGTGATTTTCTGGCTCCATGGCCCAGGTTCCAGCACCATGATGAATAGTTTCCTCTTTTGTCTAAAAAGGTAATATTCTCTTTCCTTCTTCCCCTTCCCTTCCTCCCTTCTTCCTCTTCTTTCCCTTTCCCTCCTCCCTTCTTCCTTTCCCCTCCCCCTTATTCCCTTCCCCTCCCCTTCTTCTCTTCCCCTCCTCCCTTCTTCCCCTTCCCTTTCTCCCTTCTTCCCCTCCCCACCTCCCTTCTTCCCCTACCCCCTCTTCCCTTCATCACCCTCCTCCTTCCTTCTCCCCCTTCTTTATTCCTCTCCCTCTCTTCTCCCTCCACGTCTTCTATCTCCTCCTGTTACTTGATCAGTATTTCTTAAGCCACTTTCATTTTTGCTAAGGTTGAGGGACTCTGTGAGTTGGTAAGAGGTCTTTTTGGAGACAGGGACAACAATCTGCACAACTCAGGGCAGGAGTCTGGCCACTCACTCACCAAGGATATGTAGTAGAAGTCTCTAACTATAGAGTCAAGGCTGATTTTGATCACAATATCAAAACCTTTAAGGGATTAATTACTTGATTTTACTGTATAAAGCTGGTTTGTGGGAAAGCATAGACTTTAATATCTTTGAGAAGACTCAGTTCCTGGCAAGTGAATTATTGGTAAGTGAAAGGGTAATTAGAGCTATGGGGTAATTTGTATTAAAAATTACTTTTTTTTTCTGAGCCAGCAGAAGTCAGTGTAGCGGTAAGAAAAAGAACAGGGAGGAAGGTTTGGCTTTTCTACAGTCCCAAGATGGAAAACAGGTAAAGTCCACTGACGCTGGTTCTTCTGTTTGTTCAACAACTGCATGTCTGGTACTCCTTAGGTGCCAGGCCCAGCACATGTGTCACGACCACTAAGAGGCCATTCCTCCCTCAAGGTGTGAATAATCAGCATTTAGTAGTCAGTGCATGCTAGGACTTTAAACTGTCTTGTTTAGTCCTCTCAGCACCCCTCGAGGTAGATATAACTGCTATTCCCATTCATACTGAAGTGGGGGCTCTAGCATGAACTATGAGGAACCACACAAGAGGACTCGATAGTTTGATTGGTCCCAGGTCCCAGGATTTCAATCCAAGGTCTTAGACTTTTAACCCTAGAACTTAATATGCTTTTCAGTAATTAAATATCAAGCCATTCCTGCCTTGTTTCCTTCTTCAATGCCAAACTCCTGGCTTCTTTCCCTGCTAAATATAATACAGGCCAGTGTGTGGCAGAGGATATCGACTTACTAGAACACCATTATCTCCTAGCCTTTTGCCAAGGAGGTCACTTTACATGGACATTATTATGGGGCAGCCAGCCCATGCCTTGTCTGGGCCTGAAGATAACAGCAGGAGAATGGTCCGCAGTAGCTGGGGATCCAGCTGCACCCACTAGGGTCCATGCATCCTGGGAAGTTTGCCAGTGCCCAGCACTAACACAAGCTGCAGGATCTCCAGATGCTGACAGCTTCAGCATGCAACAGGCCTAGCTTGGGGATGAACTCTGATCACACTTCCTTTTGGCAACAGACCTCTGCTTTTGCTTCTTGGTGTGTACTGGGTTCCTTTACCTGTTTCCTCTAAACTTACGTTTAGTAAAAAGTTTTTTTTTTGTTTTTTTTTTAAGAAAAACTCTAAGAATTAAAATTAAATTTTGCTTCAAGATAGCCAAAAATTGGTAGAGGCCAATTAATAGGAGAGGAACACCAAATATATGTGGTGACATCATCTGTATTATGGCAACACCCTCTGTGTTGTGTAAATGTCATCCATACTGTGGGGACATCCAATGTGCTGCAAGAACACTTAGAGTTCTCCCTGGGCTTCCATTCTTATGTCTCTGCCTTAGCAAAACCCTTGAAGATTGTGTGTTTTATAGCAGCTTGGGTTTATTCTCTTGCACAGTCTCAGGCCTTCATGGTCCTAAGTAATGTTCTTTCCTATGTCAGGAAGCTAAAGCCTTCTGAGGCTTGGCAGAGACCCAGGTCTAGTCCAAAGCTACGTTTTGGTCCATGTGGAGCTGAGTCTGGTTTGAAACAAACTTTGAGAGCATTGCCTGAGCTTTTTGACCAGCCTCAGGAGGGATTATCTAGAGAGTATGGTTACCTCATGAAAACAACAGCCAAAGCCATATTTAAGAGGCAAAATTAAATCCATGTTGAAAACATGAAAAACAGAAATAATACTCAGGAAGAAACCCCAAAATATTACAACAAAAAACATTCTCTTCCAACAATTATTGTTCTGTGAGTCTAAAACCATCTGGAGAAGTTCCTGACTTTTGAAAAAGGAAATACAAACAGAGAGTATAGTAAGTTGGGTTGGAGAGATGGCTCAGAGGTTAAGAGCACAGGCTGCTCTTCCAGAGGTCCTGGGCTCAATTCCCAGCACCCACATGGTGGCTCACAGCCATCTGTAACTCCAGTCCCAGGGGATCCCATGCCCTCTTTTAGCCTACACAGACACAGACACAGACACAGACACAGACACAGACACAGACACAGACACACACACACACACACACACACACACATATTACAAGGCTTCAAAAAGCTTCATTTTCTCACTGTGGTACTGGAGGTTGGACTCAGGGCCTCACACATTCAGAGCAAGCATTCTGAACTGTATCTCAGCCTTTTTCTCCTCCCTTTTAAAGATTTATTTCTTTATTTTATGTATGTGAGTACACTGTTGCTGTCTTCAGACACACCAGAAAAGGACATCGGATCCCATTACAGATGGTTGTGAGCCACCATGTGGTTGCTGGGAATTGAACTCAGGACCTCTGGAAGGTCGGTCAGTGCTCTTAACCTTTGAGCCATCTCTCCAGGCCTCCCTTTTTCTTTTGAAGTTCTGAGTGTAGTTCTGTGTATAGTTATCAGCCAGGTAAACACTGACAAATAAGGATTTGGCAATCATTGTTCCAGGAGCCTATAAATATTGCTATTAAAGAATTTTTTTGATAAGGGTTGGGCAAGTCAAAGAGATGAGGCCCAAGTTGAATCAGGTAAGGAAACACAAGCCCCTCTCTAAAGGCTAACAATTGTGTCCAGTTCTGCAGAAACCTCTCTGAGCCACTATCTCCCTCTTGTTTTCTGTTATCGATGTCATCCCTCTGTCTCCACGTACCTGTGTCTTTCCCCCAGTGCTCTCCTGGACAGCTGTTCGAGACAGAGCAGTGGTAGCCACAAAACAGGAGAAAAATCCAGAGAAGACGTTGCTTATCCCAAAGGCAATGAATTCCTAAGGGAGAGACTGTGTGTCAGGGATGTTGCAGAGAGAATGCTTGCCAGACTCTCATCAAGTGTCCAGCAGGATGGCTCAGCGGGCACGAGGGCTTGCTATGCAAGCCTGGTGACAAATCTCAAAACTCATGTAAAGGTGAAAAGAGAGATCTGACTCCACAAAGTTGTCCTTTGCCCACTACACATGTTCCGTGGCACACATGACCCCACACGTCATAAGCGTACATGCAATCATTTAAAACGGCAATAAATCACCAAGAGTTACTTGGCCACATGAAAAGCTCGTTTTTGAAACTTAACAGTTAACTTTCATGTTGTTTTTGACCTAAGGGAATTAGCTTTTTCTTAAACTAGTGCTTGTGCTGGCTAGCTTTATGTGAACTTGACACAAGCTAGAATCATTTTGGAAGAAGAAACCTCAATTGAGAAAATAACCCCACCATGTTTGGCCCATTGCCAGACCTGTAAGGCATTGTTTTCTTTTCAGAAAGAAAATTTTTGTTTTGTTGTTACTGTTTTGTTTGCTTGTTTGTTTGGTTGGTTGGTTGATTTTTCTAGTCAGAGTTTCTTTCTGTAGCCCTAACTATCCCTAGAACTCACTCAATAGACAAGGCTGGCCTTGAACTCAGAGAGTCATCTGTCTTTACCTCCTGAGTGCTAGGAGCAAAGGCATGCACTACTGCTAATGATTAACTGGAGGGCTCAGCTCCCTGGGTTGTTGGTCCTGAATGCTAAAAGAAAGCAGACTGAGCAAGTCACAGGGAACAAGCCAGTAAGCAGCACTCCTCCACGCTCTCTGCATCAGCTCCTGCCTCCAGGTTTCTGCCTTGAGGTCCTTCCCTGGCTTCTCTGAATGACAGGCTACAAGCTTTAAGCTAAAATAAATGCTTTCCTCCCCAGATTGCTTTTGGGCATAGTGTCTTTATTACAATAATAGAAACCTTGACCAAGACAATGTTTATTTAGCTTATTTCTTTAGAAGTAAGATGACTTCATATGCATATTTCAAAATAATTTTTAATTAGCAAGGATAAGAGAGAAATCAAGTCAATAATGGCCAGTGAAAGAAACCAACATTTTCCTAGGTGAAACCAAAATCTCCCCCACTTGTGTCTTCTTTACATGGTTTCAGCCTTATAAATTCAGCTCAGCATATAGGTGACCATACCTGGTTCCCATCTATGACGTAGTCATGTTTGGTGGCGTAGACCTTTCCTACAGACACTGCAATAGCGTAAGCCACCACAGCAATGGAAAAGGATGCAGCCAGCATGTCAGAAAACAGGCCCACAGATGGCAGTACAGGAGGCAAGAACCTGGCAAGGGAAAAACTGTTGTGAAGATGTGACACCCTTCCCCACACTTCTCAAGCACTCTATTCACTCAGTGACATGGTAGACACAAAAGGACATAGCCCAAGGAAACAGAAGAACAGAATATGTGTAAGTAGGAACATGCGCTTTTCTACTTTCTAACCAGAAGTTAGTGGTAGCTCACTGGACACTGCTTTCAGTGGCCCCTGCTTCAGAGGGTTTTGATTTTGTTTTTGCACCTCTGACATAAATAAATATGTCCCTATCAATTCTTTAACATAACTCCATCCATGTCACTTCCCATGCAAGATTTTTTTCTCACACAATTTCACCTTCAAGATCTTTGACAACACAAGAGATTCTAGGCATGTTGTAAATTTTAGTCTGTGTGAAGAGATGTCAATTCTGTTGAAGAGACAAGAAAATATGATACTGAAAGAACTCAGCAAAAAAAAAAGAGCCATGATATTTAAAAACATCTTAAATTTAAGAAGGCAAAACCCTCACCCCACATTAAATGTATGCTACTGAAATCACCCTGCACAGTCACTAGAAGAGCCCAACGACTGAGCTTCCAGACTAACAAAACCAGAGCTTCCCCCATAAACTATTAAAAATTAAACATTATAAAGTTATGATTGTGAGATTTGTAACCCAAATGTAAACGTTTGGAGGAAGAGCTTTAGTTAACTATAGAACGTCTATTTTGTGCAATCCCAAAAATCTCCAGCCATTGAAACAAATTCCCCACCTAAGTCACATACTAGCGATGTGGGAATGAGTCTAACTGTAGAGAGGTTGTGATCTGGTGAGCATCCCAGGGTTCTACTGAATGTGTCTCTCTCATTTTTGATGTGAGAGCTACAGTCCAAAGAGTAAAGAGAGTGGTTAGACATTTAATGGGGCCGTGTTAGAGACCGGAATATTGGGTAGTAAGAACTGCCAGACTGTTGTGAATCCTCCCCTCACAGGGATACTTTTCAGACTTCTCCCCCGTTCCCTCTCCTGTCTTATGTGTAGACTCTGCCATGGACTCCAGTTGTAGACAGCTTGTTAGGAACCTCAACCCATGCTTGAGTGACTCAGTATCACTTGCTAGCGTAGAGCTGAGCTTAGAGCTCATTTAATAGGATCCTTCCAAGACCCAGTCCAGTCTATTTCAGATAACTAGAGCTCTATCAAAACTAAAACCCTAAAAGGGTTTTAGTTTTGATAATAGCATGATGCTCCTGCCTCCACGACTGTAGTGTTCTCTAAATATTACCCAATCCTTGATTATTGGAGTTAAAAGTTGTAAAGTATGAAATCAAAGGACTTCAGTCACTCAGTGACTTGATGATTTGAGGCATGTTGTTTAAACCCACCAGATCTCTTTCATTGGCTGTCACAGGAGGGCTGGGCCCTCTTCTCATGAAATTCAATGAGATATTCGTATGTAACTAGTTAGTTCCTTGTTACCAGTGGTGCTCAACCTAGGCTGGAAGAATCTAAACCCAACAACTTCCCATCACTACTTGGAACGTCTCACTGGACTTCAATGATATCAACCATCTGTCCAAAATCAATTAGTAGAAGCCCTGTCTGGACATCTTCTAATGGCCGAATTAAGAATATCTTTTATTACCTGACACAACGCTTCCTAAACTACATGATCACCCCGTGGGCCTGTTAGCCCTAGCCAACCCAGACTGACCCAATGAAGGGAAGGAGGCACATGAACACACAACCTAAAGACATGAGGATGAGGAGCAGTGGTCCCCAGTGGGCCAAATAACACATAAAGAGGCACTCTTGGGGTCAGTCAAGATAAGCAGTGGTTTCTCCTCCTTTCAATTAATCCCCAATTGTCCTAGCCTTTCCACACTTGTAACAGAAACTGAGTGGTTTCCTTTATGTAACAAACACACTAATTGGATATTTAACTTCAGGTTGGATGGGAATATTTGGCAAATGTTCCCCTAATCCAACCTACAGATGGTGGTAGTCCACAGGAAACAGCTGTCCCCATCCTACCATGCTGTCTTTCCTAGGCCACACTTTCGAGTTCACTGCAAAGGACACCAACAGAAAACAGTGCAATAAATATGATGACAAAGATCACCTCTGATACCGACTAGTAAAAGAGGAAGCAGTCACCGAGAGTTGAGACAAAAATAGGTTAGTATAGGGAGTGAAATTCAGAACATAAAAGCATACACACACACACACACACACACACACACACTTCATCAAGACATAGGGTGGAAGAGAAATACTTGTTGAAATGAGTGGGAAACTGGGTGGGGGTGAAGTTCAGCTGCATCAGCAGAGAGGTAGGCTACGACTGGTGGGGGAGAGGTTTGTGTGAATCTGTCTGGAACACTAAGACACTAACTAGACAATGATAGGTTTTGTGTTTTAGCCAAGTAAGAGTAGAGAGGAGGACAGAGCTGTGGGGGTTCATTGGCAGTTTCCATTACAAGGCTAGGACCATTTGGGGCCATCCATTAATTGAAAGGAGGAGAAAGTGCTGCTCATATTGACTGACCCCAAGACTCCTGATGGACGCTGTAGTTGATATTACAGATGTGGTAGAGATGTAGGCTTCCTCCTGACTGCAGTGTGAGCCACCTCATTTACTCTGCATTTTTATGAGCACCCTCAGAGGCATTTCACAAGCTTCAGTTAAGGCCACAGCTGTGTAATTACCCTTGTCTTACAGAAGAACTTTCCCAGGGCCATACAAGTTGACAGTGACAGAGGTGGATAAAGGACCTTGGCCCTTTTCTAATTCACAAAATGGCTAAATATATATGAAATATATATACATATAATGCAACTTATTTATAGGTATAAAAGATAGCATTTTTTTGTCTGTGATTAACTACATAGTAGAGAACTTAAGTCAGACACCCTAGGAACAAACAGTACATAACGCAATCAATGCTAACTGTGAATAAGTTCATATTACATTGTAATTATACATGTGTGTTTTAATCAGTAGTCTGGTTCTAAATGTACATGTCCTGACTAACTTTAATACAGTGGAGCATGTAGGGTCTGCTTTCACGAGTGGCCTGGACTCGGTCTCCACACGCGCTGTTTGTCTGATGCTCGGTGCACACGAGATTTCTTCAAAATCGCATGCAAGTAAGACTATCAATAGTGAAGCGAAACCAGTAATAAAAAGTTTCATTTATACAAAGTACTGCCCTTAGTGCTATCTGGAAGGAATGCCACACTCACCCACTTGGGATGGATTTAACAATGCCAGCATTGTAATTCTTTTCCAAGTCAGCCCCATAGGAAATGGCAGTGGCAATTATTGTCTGAAATAAAAGAAGAGAAAAAAATTGAAAAAACCTCCACTGGCTTTAACAATTGCTTGCTTGTCAACCTACTTAGTGCTGAATTTTCTAACCACATATCCTACTTACCACGATCACTTCTATAGGAATAGGGACTGGGATTTTGTGTTTAAATCGATCATTTAATTCCTTGACAGCCATACAGATGATGATGGTCAGTAACCCAGCGACGAAATCGGCAATATTGGTGTCACCGATATTTTGAAAAATCTCGATGAGTGTCTGTAAAGAGGAAATGGATATATATGCCTTATGCTATATAGATACCCACAAAAAAGCAATTCCCCCACATAAACAGTCATATCACATCAAACAGTACATGTGAGTCTTATAACAAACATCTTAAACGTTGGCCTGGTAAGATGCCTCAGTGGGCTAAGGCCCTCACTGCCTTCACTGAGGATGTCCTGTGTTCCATCCTCAGGCCCATATGACTGAGGGAGAGAACTAACTCCTGAAGATTGCCCTCTGACCTCCACATCTTTGCTGTAGCACACATGAAAACAAACACACATGTACACACCTACACACACACACACACACACACACACACACACACACACACACACAAATAAATAAACATATTTAAACATTCTAAAAATATATGGGCTAATCCATTAAGTACATAAAATTTCCAAAATGCATACATGCATAAATAAATAATTTAAAGCTATTTTTAAAATCATAAAAATGTATTGACTAACACAGGAACATTAAGTACATGTAATTTCTAAAACACACACACACAAAGTTACCGATGGTGACTGATTGGAGAAGTAAAACAATGGGTGGTTTTTATATTTGTGTGTTTGCAACTCTATATCTTAGGATAAAATGGAGAATTTTTCAAAGGAAAGCTGTGGAATACTATCATTTACTTATAAAAAATAAAAGTATATCTTAATGAGGTTGTATAGGTGCTGTTTGTTTGTTTTTTTTTTGTCAATAGGAGTGTTTTTTTTTTAAATATGGAACGCATCATGAATTTGTGTGTTATCCTTGTGCAGGGGCCATGTCAATCTTTTCTGTATTGTTCCAATTTTAGTATATGTGCTACTGAAGCAAGCACGATAGTTGTGTTAATGAGACCAAAGTCTAACAACCCAAAAAGTCCAATTACTTTGCTTTGGTTCCAGCCAGCATCCTAAGTAATATTCTTCCCCCAACCTGAATGATGCAGGAAATAACAATAAAAACCTCCAAAAAATGTCCCCTACGGAAATCCAGATGGCATTGATCAATTTTTTTTTGACAAATTAAAACCACAGAATGGGTACATAGGTCAAGTATATATTGCTTAGAAGTTAGCTTAACATTAAAAGTTTATTTTCTCCAAGTGGGCAGATTAACAGGCTCAAGGAAAACTCATTTTGTTTTGTAAACTTGAGGTCTCTGGGGCATCAGAGTCTTCTTCAAAGGAATAAATAAGGGAGAATCCTGGGCAGAAAACTGGCATCTTTGTTCTGTTTTGGTCTGCCTTAGGTAAGTCATGTTTCAAGGAGGCACTCCTTAAAAGTAGAGTTACAGATGGTTGTGAACCACCATGTGCGTGCTGGGAAATGAACCCAGGTCTTCTGCAATAACAAATGCTCTAAACTGCTGAGCCATCTCGACAGCCCCTGGGAATTAATTTTAACATATTCAAGGCCACACAAGCAGAAAGTTGTGGAACCAAGACTCTAACTCCAGTCAGTTGATGTTCAAACACTATGACCTTTAGCCACAGTGCTACACCTCGTCTACTGTGCTAGCCTCGTTCTTGCAGTGAGCACTTGGTAACATTTGCTGAAAGATAGAGTAATTGATGAAGTAACGTGGGGTTAGGACACTGAAACGGAGAACAGTTCTGGCAACCCCGCCCTTTTATACACGTGTAGAGCTGTATATTGTTTTCAGATGCTACTTTTTTTTTTCTTTTAGCTCAAGCTGGTTTCAAACTCCCTATGTGGATGAAGATAACTCAGAACTTCTGACCTTTCTGCCTTCACCTCTTGAGTGATCATTGGCATGCATGCCATGATGAGAATTGGCCTAGGGCCTCACGTGTGTTTGGCAAGCACTCTACCAATTGAGCTACAATGTTTTTTAATACACTTTTGCATGACTTCATTCCCCCAAGCCAGAGTGACATCATGTTACTATTATCGCTGTGTCTCAGGCATCGGTAACATACTTTATATAGAGTATATACTTAGATCTAAGAACTTTAAATCCACTCTGGATGATCTAGATTCTTCTTTTGCATCTCTTCTGCACACTGAATCAGCTTTGAATCTAACGTTCCTTTTCATTTATAATTGCTGAGACATTTACATTATACATTTTATGGATGCTCATAATTAGAAAGGGTTTGAGAGACACATTTCCATTAGTTTCATTTGAAAAGCAAGCAAGAAAAAGGAAGGCTTGAAATATTAATTTTATAATAATAACGTCTCTGGAACTTGCCACATGCCACTCCCTGAGCCAGTAATCCAACTACTCTTTTTCTGACAATCCAGTGAGGTAGGTGCTATTTGCAACCCTATTCTGCAGAGAAAGAAACTGAGGCATGGTGATTTGCTCCTAAGACTAATAAGTAGCCAGCCAAGTCAAAATTTGAATCCAGACCTACTCAGTTTCAGACCTGAGCTTTCAGCCAGTTCCCCATATGATCTGTCCAGGGGTCATTTAGCTTCTGAGAGGCAATGTCACACCAGAAATCAAATCTATTACATCTCAGCCCTGTCTTTTTTGTTACGCTACCTCATATCCCTTAATCTTCTGAAGGCCATAGCATCTGGGAAAGCTTTGGAGCAGTTGAAAAATGGTTTGGAAAATGTCAGTCATCCCGCTTGCTTCTCTCAGAGAAGTGTGTTTTGGTGACTGCGTGTACAGAAAACAGATTCTCCAGGTTCAAAATGGAGAAAGAGGGAACCGTGATGTTTCCGTAGTGATACGCAACACTTACGTAGATAATGGAGAGGATGCCGTTGTAGTTCTTGGTTGAGACATTGAGCACGATCTTTAGCTGTGAGACCAGCACTTGGAAGGCAGCAGCGGTTGTGAATCCGCCAACCAAAGGATCTGCTAAATACCTCACAATGAATCCAATCTGCAAACCTCCAAACACCAGCTAGGGTAAGAAGAAAGGAAAAAGTTACACGGTTGCCTGAGAGAAGGACCAGCTCTGGAAATAGTAACAAGTTAAGCTTTGGAACAGTGAAAACATTGGTAGCCTGCCTGCGGGACAAAATCACTTGTATGAAACAAGTGAGACTTTCTGGCTTCTCCCTCCCATCTACGACTTTAGAACTCAAAATCCATATGCAATGTAAAATTCAGGTATTTCCATCTATGTGCTATGAAAAGCAAAACTCATGTTGCTTCTTTCTATGGCTTCCAGCCCACCTGTCTGAGCTCATTTGAAGACTTTTTTGTTCCTGTCTCCTACATCCGTCCCATGCCCTCCCTCAGTTAAATCACTTGTTTCTGTTTGCTTCCTTTTCTCCGACTCTGGTGACAAGCGATTCTAGTTTTTGTTTGTTTTTTAAGTTTGTAAGGTTTTCAAATCCATTTTAGCATCTGACCTGAAACAATTATATATATATATGTGTGTGTGTATATATATATATATATATATATATATATATATATATATATATGGTTCAGATAGATTGTTTTACCATTACATGCATCTTTGAGTCTCCATATTTTAAAGCTAATTATTTCAATAAGAATGGCACTCATTTGTGTTTACATGTAAGTCTATTATTACCTGTATGATTCCAACTAGAAGAGTGAGGGTGCTCGCAAGCAACACGCGTGCCGCATCTCTGGTTCCAGTGTCTAACACGGTCGAGTTCAATGCACTTCCATTACCACTGGGCACAAGAAAGTGGTCATCTGGAGCCATGCTCAAAACAACAGACCCCACCATTAAACTGACCACCGGGAAAGGGCCTGGGGAAAAAGGCTCTGTTAATGCAGCAGTACTGTAGCACAGACATTTAGACTCAACACGTCTGTGTACAATTAGAAAGGCATGTGATAGTTAGCTGTAAGTAAGAAATACTGTTTAAAGAGTCTGAGAAGTAGATGTCTCAAGTCATTCCTGACTCAGAGAGGACAAGGAGGCGTGTAAATGGGTGGTACTTAGGGAATGTTCAGAATGCTTGGTGAGTGTATGCCAAGGTGCCACCTCCTCCTGTGTGGGATCCTTATGGGCCAGGTATGGGAGATATCAGAGACACATGCAAACTGAATCCTTAATTGTTCAAATTTAATATTTATCCACTATGATCTCATCTCTTACAGTGTCCAGAATCCTGATCTCTAAACACAAGAACCTCCATCAATATCACAGTGTCCAAATTAACAAAGGATTGAAATAAATAATTTTTTGATCATATGCTAGTTAATAAAATCCTGTTGTTTTTTAAAAGACTTATTTATTTATTTTATGCATATCTGAGTGCTCTATCTGCATGTACACCTGCATGCCAGAAGAAGGCATCAGATCCCATTACAGGTGGTTGTCAGCCACCATGTGGCTGCTGGGAATTGAACTCAGGACTTCTGGAAGAGCAGCCAGTGCTCTCAAGTGCTCAGCCATCTCTACAGACACAATCCTATTTTTTTTAAGTTCTTATTTATTTTATTTACTACTTACTTTTTTCTCATGATAATGATGATCCCACCCCTTGATTATAAAAGGCTTTATGATTGAGAGCCCTCAATTACCCAAACCTAGTAACCAGGAAGATCTAAACACAGAGAATGTCAAAGGCAAACAGAGAATGTCTCTTACTGATTGGTTCTCCAAAGAGAGGAAGTTGATTCAGTCAATAAGTCTCTCCTGACCTGCTTCTGCAGACAGGTCAGGGCTAAAAACCGTGAGAGACACAGCCATGCACAAGGGCTTGGGATAGATTAGAGGGCATGACTACATTTACCTTAAGATGATTATCCAGACAATACATCTCACCAGCACATGATACAGCAGCAAATTTGTCTTCATTGCTGATGTCAGAGTCACTCAAAATCTTATCAAAACATTTATTTTCTGCAACAGTGCAGAAAGAAGAAAAAAAAAACAATCTACCTTGAATGTTAGGAATGACAGGAAATTCCATTGTGACCATGCCAAGAAGGAGTGTGAAGCTTTTTTTTTTTTCTAAATTGTCTTGCAGGACTTTGCTAGCCTTCCAATATTATCTTATTGAAATAACTATGCTCTTTAATTAAATAACAAATCAGTATTTAGTGACCATAATTCACTAAATATAAAATTAACCTAGTGACAGAAGTGCATTTAGATTCTGTAAAGGTTTTTCCCCTCTGTCCTATGTTGGAAGAGAATGCTTTTAAATAGTCAATTTTTATTACATTTAAAAACTTTAAACTGTGATAAAATTCAAAAGTATATGTTTTAATGTTTAGCCTTTCAATTTCATCTTCATTAAAACACAGTCCCATATATAGCTAACACTGCCAATTAATAAAGAAAGTGGGCAAGATACTGAAGTTTGGTTCTTCTGAACTCATGGACAAAGGTCTGGAGGCATTGTATACATACATACATACATACATACATACCATAACATAGCAGAAACAATTTACAAATACATTTTTGCAGCTGTAAAATATGCTTGTAATTACCTACTGAGATGTGTCTTGATGTTCCAAAGATAAAATATGTCAGGATAGGGAAAAAGGCAGAGTAGAGACCATATTGAACAGGAACCGCAGCTAGCAGAGCATAAGCCATCCCTAAAGGTGCAACCAACACAGTAAAAGTTACGAACAACAAAAATACAGTGTATTTGCACTACACAAAGAAAGGCTTTTTTTCAGAGACATACTCAGTTTATGGATTCAAAACATCAGCCGGTCCTGAATGGTTTTCTTATCTTGCATACAGACCTTGGCTATGCTAAGATACGGACTCTGACTTGGCCGGGATAGTGAGTGTTTCTACACCCATCCCCTGCTCAAATGAACTGACTCCACCACTCAATAATTCGGTCACTAGCTGGTGATATCAGTTGGAAAATAATCAAATCATTTCCTGTAGAATTTGGTTAGCCCAATCTGAAAGCCCAGACCAGCTTACACGGGTAGTTCTGTTTGAACCTGTGCCCCTCCGTGTCTAAAGGACATAGGCATCACTGTGCTTTCTCCTTCCTGAAAAACAGATGTTAGACAAAAAGCAAGACGACTCTACCCTGATGAAGGAGGCACACCCACTAGTAGGTGGTGCCAGACATCCTCTGGGCCGTGAGTCTCAGGCTATGGGGAAAACAACACTTCAGTGGACATGGGAGTTGGAAAAGGATAATAACATATTCTTCCCCTTAGTTAGATATTCTGGCAGACAACATGTATTGTTTCTCTATTTCACACTTCAGGAGCGAAAATTCAGACCTTTGACTCGAGTCATTAATAAAGAACCATTTGTGATAATTTTTAAAACGTACTAACAACCTAAATGACCCAACCCATTTGCACTTAAGCTTAGTTACTGAATGCATATCTTCCAGTAAAGAAACAGTTGGTTAAATTATACTTTAAACATGGCAATTCTATGTTGTAGAGGGATTTGGTGCAGGGAGGGGCATATGGAATTCAAAGGAAGGGAACTGATGTAACATAGAAACACTTTTCCCAAACATAACCAAATGTAAAGTAAAACTTTAAAAAATTGTTACATTTGAATTTCTTTTGTGTGCACATGCCTATGTGTTGTGGAAGTGATGGGGAAGTAGCTGTGTGTGCCACAGCGTGCATGTGAAGCTGAGAGAACTTTCCAGAGTCACATCTCTCTACAATGTGTGTCCTGGGGACCAAACTCAGGTCCTTGTATGATATTGATGCATTTATCTTTTGGAAAATGTGTATGCGTGTATGCCTGTGTGGTATTCATGTGTGATGTATGCACGCATGTGTCCAGACACTAGAGGCTAAGGAAGCCATCAGGAGTCCCGCTCTGTAGCTTTCTATTTCATTCCCTTAAGACATCATCTTTCACTGAACCTGGCTAGGCTGGCTGTCAGCAAGTCTCTGTAATCTTCCTGTCTCTGCCCTTTCACAGTGCTGGTGTTAAAAGCAAATGACCACGCACCCTGTTTTTTACATGGATACTGGGGATTTGAACTCAGATTTTGATGCTTGGGCAGCAAGTGCTCTTAACTGCTCAGCTGTCTCCCCAACCTACTTTTTTTACTACTCTAGTTACTAAAAGGAAGTAAGAATAATAAGGTGTCCCAGGAACGTAGAACAGAAAAAGAGCAGATCCACACAGAAAAGACTGGAAAGAGAGCAGAGAGGAAGAAGGCCCAGCCTACACTACCTGTTTCCTATAGACAGTTTTCAAGTTCTCAAAGGAAGAATCCCCTGAACAAGATGCTGTATCTCTTCTTCATTCTTTGCCTCTGCCTCTCCTCCTACACTTCTTAATATGCCTGGGACACAGGGATGGATATTTTCAGTTTTCATACACAGTATCTATTTAGGAGTAACTTTCATTCATGTACAATTGGTTATCTTTATTGCAAAGAAACTTGGTTCAACATTTTTGAAATAATACAGTCTCTAAAGAAACAGACTATTGATTGAAAGTGTGAACTCCATGCTGGCGCATAGATTGGATAGGATGGCTGAACGTACACTAAATTGAAACCATCTGAAGGGAAAGGCCTTCCACCATGTAAGGATTCAACATGACAGGCCATGAGTTTAGACTTCTTAGCTTCAAAAACTGTGAGAAACAAATTCCTTTATGTATAAGTAGATCAATAAACATCAACGATAAAACCAGACAGGAAACTCCCTATAGCTATGAATAAAGATACCAACAAAAGGGCTTGTGGGTCTTTTATGGCTTAATAGGATTTTTGTTGTTGTTTTGTTTTGTCTTAGGACAGGGTTCCTCTGTGTAGTCCTAGCAGCCCTGGAACTCACTCTGTAGACCAGGCTGGTCTTAAACTCAGAGATTCGCCTGCCTCTGCCTCCTAAGTACTGGAATTAAAGGCATGTGCCACCACTACCTGGCTAGGAATTCGCTTTTACTTTTTAGTATTAGAAATCAAAAGACCCCAGTACCCTGAGCAAACGCCAGATGCCTCTCCCAACACTTTCAGGGCCCGGGTGGTAAGCAAGTTAGAGATTGCCATTTCTGCAGCTGTAGGCCTAGAATCCCACTCCCAGCCCCCAGGCCTACCCTCTCTGCAATTCTTACGGGGGCATCACTTTATCTTCATAAGACTTCTACTATGAACCAACTACGCTGCCCACACCACTGTACCATCTGCCCTCACTTCTATCCTGGGTCGTCTGCTCAGTCCATTCACAAATGTTCCCTTGTCTTCTCCCCACCTCCTTCCTTTTACCTGCAAAACAACTCCCAAACCTTCATGTGCTCCAGAACAGCCTTCAAGCGAGTATACAATTCAGACATTGCACCAGGTCTAACAAGTACTCAAAAAAATCCCTGATCCCCAACCCCAAGCAGGCTCTGCCAGGCCAGCCAGCTGCAGTTCCTTAGCAAGTGCACCTTTCCTCTCTCTCCACTCTTTCACAGAGGTCCTCCACATCCTTGAGACTTCCTTTCCCGAAGTCCCTTAGACAGATCTCTTCTGCCAGGCAACTCTTGACAACTCAGTAATATGGTCTAGTAATTCCTGCATTAAACACACAAACAAACAAACAAACAAAGCAAAGTCTTCTTCCTTCCTGCTACCTTCATCCTATGTGCCTTTCCAGTTCGCAGTGAAATCTCTTAAAGGCAGTATGTGCCCTCACCATTGTCTCCAGTTACCAGCCCTACAGTGTTTCCCCGCCCTGCCCCCATCCTTCTGGCTAGGCTTCAGATCCCACATTCCTTTGGTTATCTATTTTTCCCTTCCAGCTTTGTAAGACAAACTTCCTCAGTTCTTCACCGCCCTTTCCTGTCAGCTTTCTCTTTTCCATTCTCCCTGGCGACAGCGGGCATCCCTGTTCTTTTCTTTTCGTGTTTGTTTTTGTTCTTACATTACTGATGATTTGCAATGCTCAGCAAGCTTAGATGACGAGCGGGACCACATCCAGCTCTGGACCTTTAACTGATCAGTTCCAATATGGTCCTTTCTTGAAGTTTTCTCTTGTCTAGCCCAGACCCCTCTCCTCTGACTTCACCCTAATGTCAGCTTCAGCTCTCTCCCCCCACCCCAGAACAAGCAATTGCTATCTCACAGAATCTTAACCTAGGGAGTCCCAGGGGACATCATCATTCTCCACCTGACAGGTGCTCCTCCACAGCCAGTCTTTGTCATTTTAACAAATGACAACCATCTCCCAAATTTGCTTAAACCAACACCTTAGAGCCTCCTGAGTTTCATCTGCACTCACCAGTACATAATGGGGGCTGTTGCTGCAGAATACATATTTCATATCTTGCAGCACTCTCTGAGTCCTGCTTGATCCAGCTCAAGGTGAGAAACCTATCCTCAGGGCTGCTGAAGCAATGAGGTGCCTTGGGGACATTAAGTAATCAGGCCCCTGAGAGTGATTCATTGCTTCACCCAAACCCCAGTCCTGCCTGGTCTTATCTCGGATCCCACGCACATACTCCAATACACCAGATTTCTCCAAGCCTTCCTGTTTGTCCTCAGGGCCTTTGCATCTTTACCTGGTGTTTTTCTTTCTGCTATCTCATAGCTCCCAGTCATCCCTTGGGCTCTGCCTAACTCTCCACTCTTGAGTTAGGCCTTCTTTAACCATAGTATCTAAAATAGACCTCTCTTCCCAACTTAGTTCCCATCATGCTACAGCCCCATGGCTACCCCTGGACTTGGGCTCCACAAGGTCTGCCCGTTACTGATAGCTGAAGACCAGGCGTACGGAATTGGGCCATAAAAGTTTATTATGTGCATGAGTGATACACATGCATGTTTGAGAGAGCCAAACTAACCTCCCAGACATATACCTAGCAAAGATAATCTTGTAGCTCTATTTCTGAAAAACAGGCTACCAATAAAATGAGGAACTAAGCTGGGAGGTGGCGGCTCAAACCTTTAATCTCAGCACTCAGGAGGCAGAGGCAGGAGGATCTGCAAAGCTGGTTCCAGGACAGCCAGGGATACACAGAGAAACCCAGTCTCAAAAAATAACAACAAAGCCGGAGGGGGCGGGGTGTGCAACTACAAGTGTACAGTGTACAAGCTATGAATCACTGAATCCCAAAGCTTACCTACTAGAAGATCCGGGGCAAGAACTTCTCATTTGTTAAAGGGACTGTAATGATGGTCCCTATCTTACAGAGTTCATATAAGAATGAAATGAATCTGATACACATTAAGCAAAATGTATTTCTTTTCCTCCTACTGGGAGTTAAGTCTAGGATCCCATGCAGGGCAGTCAAGCACTCTACCACTGAGCTCCATTCCCCAGTGGTAAAGTAGATCTTTATAACACAGTTGTCTGTGACAACTGAGAATACCTGGGGCCCTAGAAACACATTTCTCATCTATAAATATGATTTATTGTCAGGAACGAAACTCAGTCCTTTTCATTAAATATTGATTGAGCTACCTACTATGTGCTGGTCTCTGCTGGACAGATCCTAAAAAATGGGATAGAGAAAGCTCCTGTTCTCCAGGAGCCCTGGGGTGCTGCTATTTTACAGCGTTTATTTATTTATTATTTATTGGGCTTTTGTTTGTTTATTTGTTTGTTTGTGGGGTTTTTTTGAGACAGGGCTTCTCTGTGTAGACCAAGCTGACTTCAAACTCGGAGCTCCACCTGCTCTGCTTCCCAAGTGCCGGGATCAAAGGCGTGCACCATCATGCCCAGGTCACTTCACAGATTTTAGAGCACAGTATAGAATGTACTCCACCCTTCACCTTTGATATCTAGGGCATACTTAGTCCAACCAAGGCTCCAGGCTGGGACTGCAGATCTTCCTCCTCCTCCTCCTCCTCCTCCTCTTCCTCCTCCTCCTCCTCTGTGGGAAGGCCCTGCCTACTCTGAGTAGCTGAAAAGCCCCGCAGCCAGGTGTAAAGCACATTGCCTCTCCTCTGTGACAAGTGTCTGAAAGGGTCTCAAGCTCTCTTTCCACGTTCCCGCACCCTGCATCACTTCCCGTTACTTGGCCAACTCAGATGTCACCTTCAGAACTCAGCTTTGACCGCTCTACTTCCAGGAAGTCATCCCCGGTCCCGTAAGAGAGGGTAAAACACACCTCACTGACACTGTCCTAGTAGTGAACATTTCTCTTGCCAAAGCTTTAACACACTGAACTATGAGCATTAACTTCTCCATGGGGCTGTGAGTTCCGTCAGCACATCTAAGTCTTGATAGTTTACCTTACAGCATACTAGATAGCCTATAAATTACACCAGATAAATGAGTGCTCTTGTCATAATTTGGAAGCTTTGTGGAATCCGATGTGTGGCCCTTGCTAAGATCTTTCCTCTCTATCCTTTAAAGTGCATTCAGGATGCAGATCAAGATCTGGGTGGAGAATGTAAATAAAGTAATTTAAGGAGCTGAAAGAGTTGGTTTTTAAAAACCATCAGAACAGAATACAGAATGCAAGAGCGAATTATTTGTCATGAGAAGTACTGCTTTACAAAACTTTAGCTATGTGTGTGCATATCATGATGCAATGCATATTTCTTACTGGTCAGTAACTTTGGGAAGTTCCAGCTTGAGACCATAATCTGGAGCCACACAGCCAAGGAAACAACAATGTTTCCCAGGAAGCTATCTTTATGGAAGAGGAGAAGACAGGTGACTGTTTACTAAGGTACCTAGCTGAAGACCTTGAGAGAGTGAGCACTGGTCCGTGGTTAGAGGAGTAAGGGAGCCATGAATCTCTGTGGGAGACAGTAACTTAATAATCACTGGAGACCTATCCACCAGCATCTTACCTTGCAGGGTACCCACTAGCCCAGTGCTGACTCCAGAGATGATGTCACTGAGTAGCCATTCCTTGACCCGGTATTTTGGGAGCCAGTCCAGAATGGGCAAGACAGCTTTCAGCACACCAAAGGCTCTCTTTCTTGAGCAACTGTCAAAAAAGCAGGAAAATGGTGTGTCTGATCCAGTTTTCACCAGTTATAAATCACAAAGTCACAAAACAAATTCTGCTGCTTTTTTTTTCTATAACTAGTTAAAGAAAAATAATGAGTTCCATGAGGAAAATACTGACACTGAAATGCTTGACATGTTTTTGCCAAGAATTGTATCTATCCTTTTAAACTCACTTGCTGTTCTAGGAAACACAGGATTAAGTGTCTCCTCCCCTCGTCCACCTTTTTAATCCTCTGAGAAAATATCCCTACACAAGAACTCATTTTCTGACCCAGCCAGAAAATGATCAGTGTGGAGTCTCTGTGTGAGATTAATTTTTAGGCTCCTAAAGCTGGCACTGCCTTCTTTAAAGACAAATAAACACAGGACTATTTTGGCAATACAAGCTTAGAGTCACTTTTTAACCAAACTTCTAGTGTGATGAATTTATACTTTGTACCTTGTTACCTACCAATTTTAAATGTGACAACCTATAGATAAAAATAAAAATACCAACAGAACTTCCGCTTTTTAAAGATATTTTAAACATTATAATTATGAAATAATATCAAAGTTTAGTAGGTAAATACAAGTTTGGTATTAAGGGATTTTTGTGTGAATAATAAGGCATAGTTATATATTTTAAGTCCTTGGAGATATATATATATATACATACATATATATATATATATATATATATATAGAGAGAGAGAGAGAGAGAGAGAGAGAGAGAAGAGTTTTCCTTATCTGCCACTGTCACGTGGATTCATCCAGTTGCAGAAAATGTTTTTAAAATTAAGAAAAATGTAGCGAACATATGAAAGGTCCCTCACCTTTGTTTCCTGAACTTTACCGTGTGACAGTGGCTAACAGCACAGTTAGATGGTGTTAGTATTATAAATAAGATAAAGATAGCTAAAACTATGCAGAAGGAGGTATGAGTTATATGCAAACATTCACCTATTACATATAAAGGACTTGGGAATTTGAGGGTTTTGCTATGGGGGAGGGGGTCCTAAAACCAATCCCCTACAGATATTAAGGCTAACAGTAACAGACTAAATATCCAATATATGGGATTTATAAAAATCATACTGGAGAGCAGGGAGGTGGTTGTATAAAATTCTCACAAAAGGTAAAAAAGAAAATACCTTTAAAAAGAAAATACCCCAAACAAAATACATTATATGCATATAATAAAATCTCAAAAAAATGTCAGTGGTGGAGGTGGTGGTTCATGCCTTTAATCCCAGCACTCAGGAGGTAAAAACGTTTTTATAAGAAGAAAATCTGTCGATTAGCTGAGCGTCTGCCACGTCTTTAAAGTTTGTGGTGTCGGGTTCTGGGACTTCTTGGGGTTTGAGGACTATGGTTTTGCCTAGGAATCCCGCTGCCTCCTGAAGCACTGGGAACACCTGTCTCCTAGCTTTAATCCCAGTTCTCTGAACGTGATCCTGATCTTGGTGTGGCCAGACTTGTCCGGCATCTGTTAGATGAACACCTTTCCTAATAGTTTTTTTTTTTCTAGCTTCACAGGAAGGAAGCAGGGAGCCACTGGACCCCAAGGTACACTTCAGGTTTCATTAGAATGGGGTCGGGGGTGGGGGGGAGACAGAGAGAGACTGAGAGAGAGACAGAGAGAGAGACAGAGAGACACACAGAGGGAGGGAGACAGAGGCAGAAACAGAGACAGACAGGAGCGGTGACCAGATTCCCACTTCTCCACTAAGTTTCTCCAGGCAAAGCTGCAGTAATTCCAGTCCCAGATTCCTGGAGCCACCCCTGTCCCGGATCCCCGCCAGAAGCGCGCGGCGGGTACACCGCACCCGGCGAGCGCTCCTTCCCCGGGACGGGTGGCCCCGGCACCTGCCAGCTGCCCGCGGTACCTGCAGCTCCGCGCCAGGCTGTCCCGCAGCGTCCTGCGCTCCGGCAGGCGCCGCTCTCGCTGCTGCTGGAAGGCGAGCTCGCTGTACACCGGCCGCGACACCGCGTAGCTGCAGCTGTACTCGGCGAGCTGCGGCGGCTCCGACCTGCCGTCCCGCGCTGCCATGGCCTGCGAACCGGAGGACCGCCGGCCAGGAGGGGACGCGACGAGGGAAGACACTCGGAAACCCGGAGCGAGCAAACGGCCTGCAGCGGGCACCTGCGAGCAGCCTCGGGTGCCACCTGTGGCAGCGGCTTCGGAAAGCCGGTCCTCGTCCCGCTGTCCTTGGAGCTGGCAACAGTCCGTCCCTACGGCCGGCCACCTGCAGGACAGCACCTGAGGACTGCAGCGTCTCCCGCACCAGATACCCGGGAATCCCCGCTGTCCAGGGAGTGAACCTCACTTTGGCTTGGGTGTTGGACTGGGTGGCCTCCCTGAGCAGTCAGGGCGCTGTCCGCGTTCTGAAGTCTCCCCCAGACCGGACTGGGGCCCGTGTGACACAGAAAGGGTCAGGTACTCTCCGCACCCTATAGGAGACGCGGCTCCACGCACACTCTGGGCTGCGGCAGCGCTGTCCCATTTAAGGACAGGTGTGAGTTTCCCGGTCTGACCCCTAGCTTCCTCTTGTCTCGCTTTTTCTGGTGTCTGTCCTGCCCTCCTCGCCGGCGGCGCCTGACTAGTCCCATCCCTAGAGAGTTACGACAGGGCCGGGTGCAGCCGACTGCACCTTCTGTGATGAACTCACCTGTTTGGGCTCCAGAATTCTGCCTGACCAGAATGCCTTGGGGACAGTTTTCCTGCTGCCTTTATAGCGTTCACCCAAAGCAGTGGGACGTTTTATTTATGGAGCAACAGAGACACCTTGGTGGAAGGGAAGGACACAGACAGCAATCTTTGCCCACAAATCTTACCAGAAAAAAAAAACAAAAAAAAACCCAAAAAACCTCCCACCCCTCCTGTTTTCTTCCCCTTTCCTAAACCCAGAAAACTGTAACTCTTAAAAGGTTGTCTCACAGGGGCACCAGATCTTCACCTATACCACAACTACTACTGGAACTACTGCTAAGCCTGTGAGATCAGGGACAGATCAGAACTTTGGGGACTCACTTTTCTGAGAGTAAAACAGCTTCTGTGTTGGAGCACCCAGGTCCCAGGCTCCTTGGCTGTCAGAATCCACAACCTGGTCCATGTGTGCTTACACCAAGTGGGCAGAAGGAATAGAGGTTAATGTGGTTTGCATAGCAACAAAGCTTCGGAATTCTCAAAAGTCTGTGAATGTAGTGAAGAGATTATAGTTCACTCACTGACTTTAGACACAAATTCTTTTCACTTTTGTGCATGTGTCTAATTCACAAGCTCAGGAGTAGAGGTGGCCCCTTTCTCTCCTGCCTCTTGGACTCTGATTTTTTTCTCCTCCGGCTAGAAAACCAGGAGGTGATACATTGGGATAAACAAGAATCAAGGCAATGATGAGTAGGAGATTCCAGTGTTTACTGGTTTGCATTCTGTTGGAATGAATCTGGGTGAAACAAACTCGTGTTTAAAATAGGTGCAGAAGGGTTTGGAACTTCAGATCATTCATGGTGCCCATTGGACACCAAATTTCAGTCACCTACTTGAGAAATACAGACCATAACAATTTAATAAATTCCAGGAAACAAAATTTCAGGAGAACTCTAGTGTAAATCCCCTAGTCAATATGTTGCAAGCATGTGTGGTTTGTTTTATTATTTTTTTCCTTACACTGAAGAATGAATGAGTCACCAGCTTTCAACAGATTTTCAAAGGATTACTTGACCCAAAGAGGTCCAGAACCAGCCAGGCATGATGGCACGTCTCAAGAGACTTGGGAATCTGAGATGGGGGAATCACTTGAGTCCTTGAGTTTGAGACCAGGTAGTCCAACAAATAAATCGAGAAAGGAGAGACAGAGACAGGGACACAGAAAAAGAGACACAGAGAGAGACAGAGAGACAGAGACACACAGAGAGAGACACAGAGAGATTTTAAAACACTTAAAGATGAAAGAGACCTTGTCACACTTCCAAATTACGCTGCTGCCTATACAGTTAAGATGTGCTTATGCGGCCTCCTACCTGCCTTCCCATCACTACAGACTTCAAGTCTCTGGAACCATAAGCCAAAAAAGTAAACTGTTTCTTTTCTAAATTGCTTTTCATCAAAGAAGTAGAGAAATAACTAAACATGCTGTAAGAACTTTGCTGTTATAATGATGTACGTGTGTGAAGACGTATTGATGCAATGTAGTACTTTGTATACAATCTTAGAAAATGAATAATTCTAAGAAAGAATTTGGGGACTGTTGAGATAGCTCGGTGAATAAAGACAGGAGCTTGCCACCAAGACTGTCGGCCTGAGTTCAAGTCTCAGGCCCTACTCTTACAAGTTATTCTCTTACTACTTCAACAGCATGCTATGCTACTTGCACAAACACAAAAATAAGTGAAAAAATGTGTAATACGACTTTGTTTTCAGAACTTAATCATCACTCTGTCATATGGCCTGTATGTATCTGAACAGTAAGACTGCTTTTTCCCATTCCAGGAAATATCTTTTCTACAGCAAAAGTAAACATTCACGGACAGAATAGCATCTGCATGGCAGGATTTGGTAAGACTAGAGAATTACTCTTCTCATAGATAAAAGACAGACTCCCTGACTTCGGCTACCCTTTAAATAGTGGGCCAGCTAGATGGTTCGCTGAGTAAAAGGCACTCTCTACAAAGCCCGATAACTTGAGTTTGATCCTTAGGACCTAAAAGGAAGAACTGACTCCTACAAGTTGTCTTATGATCTCCATATGACCCCACACAGAAGAAGTAAGTCAATGTAAAAATGAATGAAAAACTAAAACATAAATCCAGAGAAGAGTGGGAACGAAACACAGCTAGTCTCCCATCGTGTTACATTAAACACCTCCGGTTATTCACACCGGCTTCTAAATCAAGTCTCACCTACTTCACATAGAAGTGAGTGTTTCTTATTTACCAGAATTTAATAACATCCACGGTTTTCCCCAAGGAAGTAAATGTGACACTTCCAAATATACATCAGAGGGCAATATTGCTACAGTGAGTGATAGTTCACAGTCATCGATGATTTAAGGGACAGGTGAGGTGGAACACTGCTGTCATCCCAAAGGCAGAGGCGGGACAGAGTCAGAATTTCAAGGCCAGCCTGGTCTGCATAGAAAGTTCCAGGCCAACTGGGGCTATTTAATGAGATCCTGAATCCAGTCTCAAAAACAAGCAAGCAATCCTAAAAACAAACAACAACAAACCACTGTCACTTAGGCTCACGATGTGTACGGCCATCCCAATGTCAGATCTATATGTCATTCACTCAAGAGTTTAGTAAGAATTCATTTGTGCTCCCTTATCACACCAAGAACTAGAGTGTCTCGGAACTTGTTTTGTAGACTAGGCTGGCCTCAAAACTCAGGGTGCCCTGAGTGCTAGAAGTTAAGGTGTCTGCCACCACGCCTGGACAAGAATGCTGTATTTAAAAGAAATCTTGATTCTGATTCTTACAACTGTCCACGTTTGAACATGTTTGGAGTGTAGCATAGATAGCTTACTTATTATTTGAACATGGAGTTCAACTGAATCATTTCTCTTAAGAGAGCACATTTGGAAATCATGGTGATTCACAGGCACACTGGAAGCCCAGCTCACCTTTCAGACCGGCACTGGTGAGCAACAGATACCATGAAGAAACAGTGACCCGGAAGTGTAAGTCTACTTCTGAATTTTTGCTTTTTAAGTCTTATTAATTTCCCCCAATAGATGCTAAATTCTGCCAGTTTTATATAAAAAGAGACCTTAAACTTGGAACTTTTCTGACCACCTTCTCTGAGTAGCTTCCTGGCTTTGTAGCCATATGGTTCTGTGCTTGTTTTCAGTTTCCCGTTTATTCCTTTTTTTCTTCTGCTACTTACAAGTCCTTAAGAACATATGTCCCTTATGATAGTAAAAATAGGGGCTGGGTAAGCTGGAAAGATAGCTCAGTTTGTAAAGTACCTCTAAAGAGTAAGGAGGATCCACTGTGGCTCACTGACTGGCCAACCTAGCCCACTTTGGGAGTTCCAGGCCAGTGACAGACCTCGACTCAAAAATAAAATAATAGCACTTGATAACACCAAAAGATGCCCTCTGAGCTACACATATACACACACACACACACACACAAACACATCACACAGAGACACAGTCAACGACAAAACTTTAAAAAACTCCGTAAGCGTATGTTTTATAAAAATATAATTCATAAATACCAAAATATATTAATTACATTATTTATATTGTATATTATAAATATACTAACTATTAAACATAAATGTAAAATGTGTTTATAAAGGTATAAAATTTGTAAATTTTAGATTTAAGCCCATCAACTTAAAACATTTTGTTTTGTTTTGTTTTTTTTCGAGACAGGGTTTCTCTGTGTAGCCCTGGCTGTCCTGGAACTCACTCTGTAGGCCAGGCTGGCCTCGAACTCAGAAATCTGCCTGCCTCGCCTCCCAAGTGCTGGGATTAAAGGCGTGTACCACCACCGCCCAGCAACTTAAAACATTTTTAATGTCAATAACAATATAACTCACTCTATTCCTCAGACCATATATTTGGATTCCCTAATATGAATACAAATTTGATAAGAGTTTGCGTTAATTTATTTTTATCTGTTTCTATCATGAAACAATGGCATAGTTTTTCTAAGCAACAAACAATTTGATAACCCTTCCAGGTTTTTTTTAATTGTATTTAACTTTCATAATTATCGCTGCCAATCTTATACCATAAATCCTATAGCATATTACAAAAGGAGACAAGAGAAAGTTGCTTAAATACTGTGGTGCGCTGATTGAATATTTAAGTATTCTGAGCATTAACTCATTCCATCCATTCATCCGTCCACTTGTATTTACTGAGTCCCTTGTTTGTATGAGACACGTTTGTAAGTATTGGGCATACAGCAATGAGCAAGTCTGACAAAGTCAATGCTCTCATAAGATTTATATTCTAGAAGGGCAGTGGACATCAGTCATTAAAAAACCATAACCCAAAAGGAAAACAAAACTAAACCTAAAAACCTCAGAGTAGGCCATGGTGGTGCACATCTTCAGTCTTAGCATTCAGGAAGCAAAGGAAGGCAGATTTCTGACTTCAAGGCCAATCTGGTCTACAAAGTCAGTTTCAGAACAGCCAGAGCCACTCAGAGAAAGTTTGTCTCAAAAACCAAAACCAAAACTAAACAAACAAACAAACAAAACTCTTAAGTAATATCCTATTATGCTTTAAAAATATACATTTCTTGAATATTGATGTTGAATTGGAGAAGTAAGCAGAAAAATGTCTTACAGAATTCCATTTTTTGTTGAAGGTGTGTGTGTGTATGTGTGTGTGTGTGTGTGTGTGTGTGTGTGTGTGAGAGAGAGAGAGAGAGAGAGAGAGAGAGAGTGAGAGAGAGAGAGAGTGAGAGAGAGAGAGAGAGAGAGAGAGAGAGAGAGAGAGAGAGAGAGAGAGAGAGAGAGAGAGAGAGAAGGCCTTTCTTTTTGCTGAGGAGGTGACTTTTGAAGACAGATTGGAAGGACAAGGAGAAAAGCAGCAGAAAGGCTAAAATCCTGGAAAAAAAAGTAGCAGAAAGGCTAAAATCCCAAGATAGGGAAAAACAAACTGAGAGCCATGGTGAGAGAAATGCACATATATTGACCTGGATGTGGCAACTAGGTATCCTTTGGATGTAGGTAGCCATG